GCCTTTGTGGGTCAGGTTGCAGTAAAAAACGCGTAAGGTGTTCCATTTTGCCACAACTTTTATTCTTGTTACGTCGAGACCATATAAATATATGAAAATACCAAATTGATTTAAAAAGACAATGTTTTTATATATGCTTTTGAATAAATACTATAAGCATTATCCGCTTTCCCCATCGAATACAGGTTTGATTGTATATAAGTCGCCAATTAGATGTACCTTTGTTGCATTTTAGTTTATACATATTTGTTCACTGAAACAGAATGAAAATCAAATTCCTAACATTGTATTTTAAAATGTTTTATTCATTGAACCAAATGTTTCTATTTTATCGAGATAGGTTCTAATTTGCCCCTTAGGCGAGGCAATTAATTGCCCAATAGGAGGGGCATGCAATTGCCCCAAAAGCGTGGCATCTAATTGCCCCAGAGACAGCACATCCAATTGTCCCATAGGCGGGGCATCCGATTGCACCATTGGCGGAGCATTAAATTTAAACAGGAACAATTCATTTGGTGGCAGCTTCTAGATCAATAGAATAGTATATCTAAAAATTACATCAAAATAAAGTACATTTACTATCCTGAAATTATACAACAGTGCCAATAGAATACCTATCCAGAAAAGCATGTATGAATGAGCGTTTGCAAACTTTCTAAATAAATGTTTCGTTTCGCCTGTTCTACTCTGTTTCAGTAAATAAATTTAAAGAAAACATTATTTTTAAAAGGAAGCATAGCGTGTACATGAATGATATCTTCCATTATTGTATATGTCTTACATGCATGTATAATGAATCTAGTCACTTGTTTTTCTACGTGTCCATAAAGTTTAATTTTCATGTTAATTTGCGTTGTTGTTTGAGACGGTAAAAGTTGACCTAGTTATTTATCTGCTTAATTATAAAAAAATCACATATATGTTGTTTTTTGCAGGAAGTTTTTTTAAGGAGATCTTATGTTTTGTTACAAATATAGCATCATTTGATAATAAAGTCATCATGAAAAACTGAAAACTAAATTGACCTTTTATATTTTCCCCAAATGATAAATAACGTTATATCGGTCGTCTTGTCAATAGATACAACATACAAAGAGAAGAAACTCCAATGCACGACAAATATTGTTCAAATCTATTATTTCCCTTGTACAAGGAAAGTGTTCTATGGGTCATATTTTCGCATACGAAAACACAAAAATATAACAAAGTAACCACGGGGCGCAGGAGGAAGTCACCACTACTCTGTCTTGTTTATGCATAGCGCCCCGCGGAGCGTAAGTACGATAAAAATGGTCACTTTGAAGCGGTTCTGAATCTACTGACATTATCTATTTTCCAAGACAGAAAAATAGCTTCGCAAGTAAATGACACATTTCTTAATCCATGACATCCTTGTCCGTCTTTCAATCTGGACGCGACCATTTACTATACCTATTGTTAAGTGCGTTTCATAAACGTTTCTGCTATGTGCTAACACGTGACAGAACGCATCGAAACCACTTACTAACGAATGTAATTGAAATAAAACGCACACGTGCAGCACCATTTCTACATCTGCAGCACTGGACAAAAATACTACATGTAAATAAATATTGTTGTAATCACTCTTTGACACTGAAATGACTCACACATAAAATCATTGTTTTTTGTTTGTTTGTTTTTTCAAGATACACACTGTTTTAAGTGATACGAGTCTTATGGTTTCGCATTACTCTCTCAAAATAGTCTCCTTAAAAAGATATTGCATCTAGTGTTAACTCTGTGAGACATATTTTGTTCTTACATACAAAACAAACAATTTTTCCTCTATTTCTTTCACAATATAAAGGCATGTGAAAAACGCACTTTGAATTTCGTTCGAAAAAGTGCTAGCAACGTATTTTATAAAAGAAGCACGGTTATAAAGCATGAAATATACATGTATTTTCTTTTATAGTAATGAATTGACTTATTCCTATGAAATAAACTTGTTATGTTACATATCATGACGTACTTTGTGCAAATCAAAGAAATAAAGTTCTGTTCTTTATCTTTACAGAAAGTTATTGTGTGATTTACGTACATGTATATGTTGGTTGTGATAATGTTCTTACACTATGTTTATAATTAAACAAGGAAAATAAATACTTGTTAAATCAAACAAGACATGTGATAAAAAGACATGGACATTGTTGTTATTTAAACACACGAAATTCTGTATACTTTCAAGACATGGAAGTTATAATATTGTCATTATTTATACAAACGTAATTCTGAATATTTTCATTTAGTTGGTTTTTAATCGATTGAAACAGGTACGATTTAATTTTTTTGATTGCTTATTATAGTGTACATCTCTTTTAAGTCAGAATCGATTGTATTTATTAATACATGAATGAAGGGATCACGATCACGGCAGTAAGCCACATCAAATTTACCAGAGCACAGTTCAGTCACGCACCAGACTATCCACCATTTTACCAGTACTAGTTGCCTTCACTTCCGCAAGGAACTTCTGTACATGCCAGAGCAGAGGTAGCGTGCAAATGACCGTAGAAAGGATTGACCAATCACAAATAAGGTGACCTACACCGTCCGGGAATCGAACATGGGTCGCCCGATTCACAGTATGGGTTAAAGTGCATTTGTTACTATTAAGAACCGGAGTTTAAAATATTAAAACAAAAATCTGATTTATTATGTTTTATGTTCCAAGAAATGGTAGGAAAAAAGAAACTTGTTTCAACAGTCAAATATTATGGAAAATAACTTTAACTTGAGTTTCAAAAAGAAATGTCGCTCTTAAGTATATTGTAAGTAAAGTAGGCTAATTTAAAGCGTCAACTTTGTTTATATCCGCCAATGTATGTATATGTTAGTGTTCATCCGTGCTGTTTTACAGAAATTAGAAATTTCGACGGGAGCGATAGCGACCGGAGAATGTTTCTAATTTCTGTAGAACAGCTACGGATGAATACTTACATATTAAGTGTCAAACTTTATTTGGCCTCATTAATATTCACTTTATTACGTCACTACCAGTCAACTTTATTGAATAATTACCTGAACGGTGGGTTTAAATTTGACCTTATAAATATGCATGGTTTACGTCACTACGCATGAAGTTGCGTTTCGGTTGGGAATATGGAGGACGACATAATATGGCTGAGTTTTCATGTGCTCGATATGGAAACATTTATTTTCGGTAGACAGTTTTGGAAAATACGTTTCGTGACCTCGTGTTAACACATGACATTTAGTGTATTCATGTATAAATCATATCAGATATTAGCTACTGAGTATCAATTGTCTAACTCAATAAAAGTGTTTGTTGAAAATAAATGTTTCCATATCGAGCACATGAAAACTCATAAACGCAACTTCATGCGTAGTGACGTAAATCATGCATATTTATAAGGTCAATCTAAACCCACCATTCAGGTATAATAAAGCGGACTGGTAGTGACGTAATATAGTGAATATTAATGAGGCCAAATAAAGTTTGACACTAAATATGTTAGTATTCATCCGTAACTGTTCTACAGATATTAGAAACATTCTCCGGTCGCTATTGCTCCCGTCGAAGTTTCTAATTTCTGTAGAACAGCACGGATGAACACTAACATAATTATACTTATAACATTTCCTACATTCGTAACAAAAAATATGAATTGACTTTTTGTATTGGTTTAAACTTTTACACGTGCGGAATCTTTTTCGGCATATATATCCTTTATCAATAAATGCACAATTAATGTAGATTGACCTTTTGACGTCATTTTTTATTAATTTATATTTAAAAGCGGCCCACAAAAGCGCATGAGCAAAATTTATGCAAATAACTATTTTCTATGAATCACTATGAAAAATATTAGTCGAATATGAACGGTATCCGACATAGTATCGACTTCTGTTCTTCTATGAACATTAACGCACAGAATTTTTAAGAAATACACCGTTTTCATTGGATGACAAATAAAGTTGGACACTAAATATAATTATATATGTTAATTACTTTATTTCTGCTAGGTTATATTTCCGGTTCCGGTAAAGATGGTGGCATTGCTGGATGATTCGCAAAATGAAACATTCCATCGTCTGCTGCCTGTTATCGTCTGCATGGCCGTCGTCGGCGCTGTTGGGATTATTGGCAACATTCTTACCATCGTTTTCTATGCGTCTAAGTCCAAACGATCAACGTCAACTTTACAGATAACTTGCCTAGCAGTGGTGGACTTGATCGTCTGTATAATGATAGTCCCCAACATCATAGAGATGGTGGTGAACGTAAAGTATAACCAAGATGTGTTTTGTAAGTTGACGCATGTTTTTGGGTTGTGGGCGATTGCAACCTCTTGTTTTATCTTATGGATTATTGCAATTGACAGATACAGAAAAATATGTAAACCATTTGCTAAACAGATTACTGTGAAAACGACAAAATTCGCAATCACTGTTATAGTTATAGGCTCTTTTTTGCTGTCTGTTCGAAATTTTGTAAACTTCTCAACAGTCGAAGTAAATGTCACTTTGCCGGTCAGCAACGAAACAACGATAGGTTGTTACTGTACAACAAGAGGGGATGCAGGATACAATATCAGTGTGACTGTATTCTATGCTATTGATTTCTTATTCGTCATGGTTTGTTTGATATCAATTATTGTAACATACTCACATATTATCATTACTCTTCTAAAACTAAAGCGTTCAAAGAACGCGTCCAATCAACATAGACGTGACATCACGTGGTCACGTCCAAACGCCACCGGAACCGGAAACTGTGTCAATGAGGAGTCTGATAACAGCTTTGGCATGACGACTTTTAAAAGTGAATCTCATATATCTGATAGTGACGCGGGAAATAATTCTAATGTGATTGCGGCAAAGGCGTCCGTATGTGACGGTCATCCAGCTGTGACAATCGGAAATGACCAAACGTTTCATAACACCAGTCTACGAAGAACTATACAGAAAAAGAACTTCCGGAAACGGAAACGACGCCGCAAGATCGGCGCGAGCAGCGCTTCTGAAAGAAATCTGACATTTATGATGCTAGCGGTGTCTCTTCTCTTTGTGGCGTGTTTCTTTCCATTTTTTGTGGTAAAGATAATCTTGAGACTCGTGTTAAAGACAGGAGAAGAGATCGAGCTGAATGTGGGAATCCAGTTCGCGCTTAGACTGGTTTATATGAACAGTGTTTTCAATCCAATTGTTTACTGTTTCTTTAACCCACAATTCAGACGTTATATAAAGGGTTTGTTTCTTAAATGTTTTAGATGCCAAAAACAGACTGCATAGTCTTTCTTCTTTGATTGTACAAAAAAATTGTTTCCGGATTAACGTCACGTTTAGATTAGCGTATAGTTAAACGGACATAGCGTCATTTGTTACTTTATACGTCATTTTTTCTGAAGACGACAAAACGTCCAAATCTAAATAAAAGCGTTTGTTTTTTTTGAACTGATTATATATACAATGTATATATCATACAATGTATATATCATTAAAAGAAATAGACAATCCTTGAATCAATGTCCTTTACTGATTTTGAAATAACCGAGTTGGTATTTGTTGGTCCTGTAAAGATAAAGATAAATACGCAAAAGGTGATAAAAACGCGGAAAATGTCGATTATTTTATTTCTTACATAAAATAAGGAAGTATAATATAAAAAGCAGTGATTTTTTTCTCCTTCATTTAAAAGTTTAATACTTGTTTAATCTTTTCCGGAAGTTTACACTTAAAAAACAACGATCAAGTCTTTATAAGTATGGTATACAAGCGGAAAAAAGCAAGAACCAGGATAAACTCCTTTTCACCCAGAGATTGATATTGCGACCCAAGAAATCTATCTCCGTGATTCGCTTTATGATAGTACAGCACCACCTTTGCGGAGAAACAACCTTTTGGAGGCAAACCCATTGGTTGTTGCTTAAAAGTGTTGCTGTTAGAAAGGTTAAATTCATTCTTATGTTTGTTCGTGTTTGTTTGTTTGTTTTTTTGTTTTTTTTCGGGGGGGGGGGGGGGCGAGATTCGCTTCTGCCGTTGCTCTACGAAGTGGTAAAACCTAATCTTTTCTGACGACAGCAGTTTAATGGTTAAAGTTATACAAGTGCAAAATTAGTTAGTACAGACTGAGTAACCTTTGTACCTCATTGTACCTACCCATTATAGGTAGGTTTTTGGTTTGTTGCTGAGTGTTGAGACAGAGAGGTTAAATTTATTATGAAGTCTTACTTCTTACTTTTAGAACGATGAATACTGTTGTTGTAAAGAGATGAGTGTTATATAGAAGGCTATTCTGCATATGTTTCACTGTATTTTTTATTCCTAAATTTCAGGTTTGTATATTTGTTTGTTTCTTTAAGGCGCATCAACACAGTTAAGGTTATTTTGCGCCGAAACAGGAAAGATGATTTTGGCTAGCTCCTGTGTTACAAACTTAAAGCAAAACCAGTGATCAAAACCACCTCACCTGCTGGAGCTAAAAAATGGATAGATTCGAAACCTCTAAACCCATTTCGTCGCCTCTTACGATCACACAAGGAAAAACGTGGCTGCAATGTTTAATGCATCAACCCTAACAGGCAACCCCTCCATCACAAGGGGACTTCAAATTCAAAGAATTTAAAGAATCTAAAAGTACTGTTTGTTGTCAACCAAAACTTGGATAACTATAGCGTGACCTTAAGGTATCGCGGCATACCTTTTTGATATACATATTTTCCTGCTTTATGTAAAATGCTTTTCTTATAATTTATTATGGTCAAACTTAGTGAGTATTGCTATACGGCATATTTTAAATGTAAAATAAACATTTTTGAGTACACACAGAGAAGATATGATCACTTTTAAACTATACACACTCTAGGTATATACAGTATGAATACAAAGTGTCATTAAAAACCTGACTGTTTTTAAGAAAGGCGTTTTTGCTCGTAGTCTTATGTAGACGTCGACGTAATCGTGGTTGCAGCCTGAACGAAAAAATAAATTAATACAATCAACATTTTGGTTATCTAACAAAAAAGAACTACACATGTATACGGGGATATGCAGCATCTTAACGTATACGGCTAAGAGTATTCGGTGTAAGCTGTATACGGTATTACAGTACTCGGTGTAAGCTGTATACGGTATTACAGTACTCGGTGTAAGCTGTATACGGTATTACAGTCAATGTATACAGCTCCCGCATAGGCTATATACGTTGTGCGCTGTATCAAGTTCTTTAATGCAAAACAGATCTTTTCTTTTCATATAAGTACATGAACATTTGAACTAAAATATTTTTAATACCCCTGAAATGAAAACATTGTGAATATAGCTGTATCACAACAACAACAACAAAACACGTGATTCTGATTGCCTTAAAGTGAATTGGTCTATGGTGGACGGTTTGTAATACCATGAATGATTAAGCTGATATTAATTATCATAAAAATTATGTGACAAGAAAACATAAAAACATTATAATTATAATGGAAGTTTATGGTAATTAAACATGAAAAAAGAAAGGTTTATTCAGCATTTGTTGATTTTCAAAAGGCATTTGACCTTGTCTACAGAAATGGTATTTGGTATAAAATGATAACTTATGGAATTTCTTGTAAGATTATCAAAATATTTCAAAGTATGTATAATAGTGTTAAATTATGTGTTCGAGCTTCTGGGTCACTAACTGATTATTTTGATAGCTATATGGACGTTAAACAGGGAGAACCCCTTTCTCCTCTTCTATTTATATTTTTCGTCAATGATATGAATGATTTTATGGAGAATGAAGCAATTGATGTTTTTACTCTAGATGAATTGCAGATATTTTTGTTATTATTTGCCGATGATACTGTTTTATTTTCTTATATACACATGAAGGTTTACAATTACTTCTTAACAAATTAAACCAATACTGTACTGAATGGGGACTTACTGTTAATATTGATAAGACTGCCACAATGGTTTTTAAAACCGGTAACAGGAATGATAACGTTGAGTTCTTTTATAATAATGAAAAAATTAAGGTTGTACAAAAATTTACATATTTAGGTGTCACATTATCAGCAAATGGAAGCTACTATCAAACTCAAAAGGTATTGTCCCATCAAGCGACAAAGGCATTGTATTCACTGAATTCTCTTTTTGATGTAGTTAATCTTGATGTTACGGAAAAAATTAAACTTTTTGAATCAATGGTTTTACCAATATTGACATATGGATGTGAAATCTGGGGTTTTCATAATAGCCCAGACATAGAGCGCGTTTATCTTAAGTTCCTTAAACAGATTTTAGAAGTTCGTCAACAAACAACAAATATTGCCGATTATGGAGAATTGGGTAAATTTCCATTATCAGTCATTCGTAATATCAGAATAATAAAATTTTGGTCTAGAATTAGGAAAACCCAAGGTACACTTATGTATAAAATTATGTATTTAAAAGACCAGAATGATAATTTAGTCAATGCCTGGACATTAAATGTAAAACGTTTGTTAAATTCGCTTGGTTTACAATATTTGTGGGATCCAAACTTAGTATTAAATAATTCTCAATTAAATAGTATTATACAACGTATTAAAGATCAAAATATGCAAAATTGGTATGCTGAACTGCGTGTATCTAGAAAATTAGAAGTTTATAAAGAAATTAAAACTGATTTTGGTTATGAAAAATATCTTAGTATTATAACAAATGATAAACATAGAAAATCCCTTTCAAGATTTAGATGTTCGGCTCATAGATTAGCTATAGAGGAAGGTCGCTTCAGAAATATAGATAGAAACAATAGATTATGTGTGAAATGTAATATGAAAGTGGTTGAAAATGAGTATCATCTGTTATTGATATGTCCATATTATTCTGATTTAAGAGCACTTTATTTACCAAGATACTATTATACTTGGCCAAATATAAACAAATTTAAAAGTATAATGACTGCTTCTTCTAAAAACGTTATTATAAAATTAGCTAAATATATTCACTTATCATTTGAAAAAAGAAATACTGTCTAGTTTTCTGTTAATATTTTTTTCTTTATTTCCAAACAATATTAATTTGAAAATCAATGTTGTTCTTTGTGTTTCACTGTTATTTGCCTGTAATTATATAGCTATGTTAAATCCATCACCATACTTTTCTGTACTTAAATATTATGTATGTTTTGTACATGTATTTATTACAAAATTTGTAATTGTATATGCAATGTTTTATGTTAAATTATAAACCGCCATTCATATAACTTGGCGATGAACGTGTAAAATGTTTATGCCAATAAACTATTTGACTTGACCTGACTTGGTAAGTGTGAGGTACATGATCCGATTATAATTATATCTAATACATTTATATAGCAGAAAATAGATTTTTCTATTACATTTTTTATCATAAAATATTTGATAAGAATATCTATATGATAAGTTCTACTATACAAAAATAGAAAATATGCCAATCAAATTATTAACTACACTATAACTTTATCCATATGCTACAATTTTGAGTTGTAAGTTATATGACCCGTTGTATGTTCTACGTCGCTATACTAAGGGCTCTATATGGTACATATTACCGGAGTGTCATGTTTTCTTTTGCTTAACATAATATCCGTTAAAGTTTGGGTACATGATATGTTAAGGACTGGACAGCAACTAGTTCGTACAAGGAAAATACGTTACCCACGCGTCGCCATGTGTTTTAATCGGTTGACAACAACACTGAACAGACACCGGCAGACCTACTGCCTAGACTTTCTCGAATTGGGTAGACGATTATTATTTACCGTCCAATTACCGAATATTGTACATTTTGACAGAGGTGCAACACTTCTTAATAAACATATTACGCATAATACGTGTTCACCTTGGGGTATGAAACAAGGTGTTTATTGCTCCCCTTCGTTATTTAACTCAGAGTTGTGCGCGAATTACTTTCATTTGCGGAAAATCACATTAAGACGATCGTAATGCCACATTAACCCGATTAAGGTAAGCTTTTTATCGAATTTTATTCATGTTTAATTATAGTTGTATATATTTTTTTAAATAAAATCGTACGCCTCGAACACTAAAAGAATTTGTTTTTTATAAAAAAGAAAAAAAGCTGATTAGATGTTTCGTATTACGGTAGTTTAGTACATGGTCTTTCAAATAGAATATTTGAAAGACCCTGTTTAGTAGTTTTCATTTGAAGTTACGGAAAACTGTTTATTAGGTATATTAAACATTTCTAAGCGTTCATAAGTTGTTTGCATATTTTATTTAAAGGGTGTTTATCTCACAGATAAGCAATATGTTTACAAACGTATTATATTTTTTAGCATAAACTGAGTTTTACAAGAAAGCAATTTATAAATAATGAATAAGAATGATTCAAATCTGTAGCCCTCGTAGTTTCCAAAGTTCAGAGATGGTCGGCTAATAGACCAGTTAAATATGATTGAGGCTCGCTCTATCAACCCCCACCGACCCGGGAGGTAGCAGGGTACCATTTTATGTCTATATGCGGTATTTTCAATTTAAATTATGAATTAAACGTTATTAACATTAATACTCGATCAAATCAAAATATTATCTCACTAATTTGTTTTATTCCCTCGTGACCTTCGTGAGGCTTACTGTGTCTTTCGGAGATCTTCGGCTATGCTCATCGGTACTGGAATAATCCGAAGTTGTACGAGAATTTCGGTTTATGCTCGTAATTTGCCTAAACAGGAAATGGAAATTTTAGACAATAGTGAAGAAAATCTATTGTTTTTCTGATAAAAAAAAACTAGCCAAGGCCGCTTGATATATGAATGGAAAGCAACTTGTTTACAATGAATGAATATGTCATGATTTTAAACAAACGGAAACGCAAATATGATATTGTTTTGTGACTTCATTTAACTTCCGGTTAAATAGCTAGTGTATTGAATAGTGAATCAATGGGAAACAAAGTAAATTAAGGTTGTGGTTTCATTGAAGTTTCATATTGTTCGCATTTCTTACAACTTGATGAAACACCTTCCTGGAAATGATTATGTGTGTGTGACCGACTTTTCTTAATTCAATTGTTTACATTCAAACGTGTGAATATATAAGCTTCCGCATTTCGAATCATATCTAAAAATAAATTAAAGATTCACGGCAATATGAATTTAAAATAAAATTTAATGACCCATTTAAGCAGCACCATGCAAGATTCATATTAGTTTTCATGAAAATTTTGAAAATGTATTACAACAAATAAAGTATTGTCATCTTAACAATGTAGCTTGCACATTGTTTTGGCACTTTAAATCCACTTAAATTGCCAAATAAAGGACAAAATATGCAAAAATAATGTTTACTGTGTTACTCATGCGATAGAAATTTCTCCAAAATCAGTCTTTTATTGCATTTAACACGTACATTTGTACTTGTAAATCATAACTTGTATTTTACTCTTCTTAAAATCTTACTTCATTTTTCTTAAAGTTGATTTTTCCTGAAATATTTGGCTCGTCTTGAGGCATACAGCTATAAGAATAAAAAAAAATATTTAAAATCTCTATATCGTTGGTGCATGCCTTGTTAACAATTTTTAGAAATGTTACACATTGACTATGCTTTATTTGCGTTTTTGCATTTAGTGCATGCAGATACAGTGAGTTGGCATTTTGTATAGAAGTTAATGTAGAAAAAATACCGTTTTGTTTACATTTTGATTTTTTTAATCATAAATTATTTCCTTTAGGTGATAAACATGTTTTTACATGTTCTAAACTCATTATTACAACATAATTAAAATGCTTACAGAAAGAATAAAATGGCTTAATGTGCCTTTAATGTTTAGCAAGAAATCGATGCATCCGTTAAAATATTAAAGTCACCCATATTCTTCGCCGCGATATTGGCTGAAAAAATAAGCCATCCCGGAACACTGATATTTTTTTTTCAAAATGTCAGGGTGTAGATTTCTTCAATCATGTATATGTATGCCTTTAAACATATCTTTTTTAAGGTCAAAGTCTTTATTTTGTACCTTATTTACAGTAAAAAGACAAAGTTCAACGCTTGTTTTTTTCTCATTTCCGAATTAAAGAAACGCATTAAAAATATGTAACACACTGTCATATTCTTACAACACGTGTACATAATTGTAACAGTGACATTATGACATGACATATAAACACTAATTAGAGTAAACGGACACGCGCCTTAAACCTGCCAGTATTAATTACCTCCCTTTATGTAATTGACAGGTTCATTATGAATGACGTATTAATTGAGAATCAATTTAGGGAATGCTGTTAAAAGTAATAAAATATCTAATGCTATGTCTAGACCATAAAATGATAAATTATTATTGTATTTTTTTTATTTCTAGATATAACCTTGTAATTGAAAAATATACAAAACTTGATGCGATGATACTTTGAACTACTAATTTTTTGATTACTTTCTTTCGAATATAATTTTTATCTTAAATATATAGACAATTATGAATAAAGTTGTGACAATTTTATAGGATTTGGAAAAATTATTCTGAGTAAGTATTTTTCATAACACATGACAAAATGATTTAATTTTCTTTAACGTTTCTGCATTTAATTTCCCACTATTATTTTTCTTTCATTATATTTTATGTATTTTATTTATAGACATTTGTCATGGGTAAGTTTCATTTTAGAGTTTACATTGACATCACGAGAAATGTCATTTTATCAAGTTCATAAAGATTTTAAACTGAGATGAGAATGTACATTCATTTCAATTGATATGAAATAAGATTGAATGAGCCGCGTCATGACAAAACCAACATAATGGGCTTGCGACCAGCATGGATCCAGACCAGCCTGCGCATCCGCGCAGTCTGATCAGGATCCATGCTGTTCGCTGACCAACCCTATTGCAAGTAGAGAAACTGATAGCGAACAGCATGGATCCTGATCAGACTGCGCGGATGCGCAGGCTAGTCTGGATCCATGCTGGTCGCAAACCCATTATGTTGGTTTTGTCATGACGCGGCTCAAATAAGATTTCTAAGTATCCCACTTAATTGATACAGAAACAATCAGGGTCAAGATCAACTGACAGTAATTGTTCTTGGTACTTTTGTGTGTGAAAGTTCTGATAGTACGTTGTATATTTAAATTTATGATAACACGAACGTTAATCAAATGATAACTTATAAATATTGAATTAATGATAACACGAATTTTATTAATGATAATAAAAGAATTATAAAAACATTAAAATTTTTAACTAAATAATAATATCAATGTTAATTTTATGATAGCATGAATGTTGAATTAATGATAACATAAATTTTATCTTAATGGTAATACAATTTCCAAAGATCATATATCTATATGAAGTAGTCGCAAATGTTTTAGTCAAATGTAAGAGTGACTTATTCAATAATTCTGTTCGTTTCAAAGTTCATCAGTTTAATATTTTCAAACAAGTAAATGGTAAAAATTCTCTTCATTTTATTTCATTATGTATTGATGAGTTGTGTAACTAATGAAGCTAGATTTTTCAGGCATACACTTGATCAACAGGCATTAATGTAATGACAACATGAACGTGACTTTAATGGCAACATGAACATTACATGTAATTTAATGACAACCTAATCGTTTTAACTTAATGATAACATTAACGTTTTTGATAACATAAACGGTATTGTAATAATCATTATTTCATGCATTATTTTTGCTCTACCGTTGATCAAGTTTTTAACAAAATTATTGGCCTTCTGAACAACATCAAAAACAAAAGCAACAGTAAATTCAAATGACATGATTGTCATTCTTAGACAATAATCTTATTTATTCAATTTCTATTTACGTAATCAATTAGTAACCTACTATACATAATCATAATTATCATATCATTACAAAACGACACGGTTACAGTGAAATTGATAATACAATTTTAAAAACCGTTGAAACGTTTTTATCATTTTTATAATTATTATCATTATTTATGGTGGCATATTTCTGCCACCAGATAACCATATAACTAACTAGTTAATTAAGAGGTTAACTAGTTACGTAACTACTTAACCTCTTAATTAACTAGTTAGTTATCAGGTTAACTAGTTACGTAACTAGTTAACCTCTTAATTAATTAGTTAGGTATCAGGTTAACTAGTTACGTAACTAGTTAACCTCTTAATTAACTAGTTAGTTATCAGGTTAACCAGTTACGTAACTAGTTAACATCTTAATTAACTAGTTAGGTATCAGGTTAACTAGTTACGTTACTAGTTAACCTCTTAATCAACTAGTTAGTTATCAGGCTATCTGGTGGCAGAAATATGCCACCATAATTATTATTATGATTTATTTTTATACCTATTTTTAAAAGACGTCAGAGAATATTTCAATTGAGTCAGAGCGGATAATTATCGTATGGATTGATTTTTTAAAAAAAAATTGGTGATCAGACGAAGTGTTGGCATAAAATCACAATAATTTTTCTTCATAAATAACTCTTATAATACTGCCTTGTATTATGAAGTGTTTCGAAACTACTTGCGTACTCGAAGGGGGAAAAACAACAAAAGAAATTAAACTTCCGGCACTTATAACCATAATATAGAATTTATTGATGCAGTACTTGACTTTCTGCAAATGATACTTTCAATGTGAAAACTATTTGCACTTTCATAAACTTTATAATAATAAGAAATATGTGTACGAAAGTGTATTTCTGTTCTATTTTTCTTTTGATTTTATACTGTAAAACACTCACATTTCGCGGCATCGCATTCATTGAGTGAGGATTTAATTTAACTAACCTTTGTGGTCGTGCAATTTAACCCTTATCACGCTAACTATCTCTATTTCAAATTAATTTTAATCAAATTTCAATCTTGAACTTTTGATGTTTTTAGGGAATTTTTCAAAATATATACGATGCGACTTTAATTTTAAAGATCCTGTAACGCATTTTTTTTATGGTTTTATATCATAAATATAATGTTCAAATGAAGATTTATCACTATTGTAAGTTCCAAAAAGCATTATTTTAAAGATATTACCGAATTTACATTTCATGTTATTAAAAGGAGGTAATTAGAAATTTATTTTCTATGAAGTCTAAGTCAATTTTTTCAATAAGAAATGAATGCATATATTTTAATGATTACATATAATGTGGACAAATATTTGCAGTACATATTTTACAAATTCTTCGATGATTGAAAATTGTTTTAGAAGCATAATTATATACATATATAAAATTTCACTTAAGTGCACTGAAAAGAAAATACAAATTATTTCAACGTACACATATGTATTTGCTGCGAGATGGCTTTTGTCCGCCCTGTTATTTCACGGGAGGGCTTTTGTCTCACGGGAGGGCTTTTGTCCACCTTGTCCTTTTTTGACGGGAGTGCTTTTGTCCGTTACGGCTTTTGTCCCACACCCTTTGACGGGACGACACGGATGTGACAGCTTATCTTGGTCTGTACTGGTCGAATTGTTAGATTCATAGATTGCTGCGACCTGCGTAAATGTTACCTGCAGTATTTGTGTGGTTTAAATAATTCACGGTATTGACAATTGTTTATGAAGTTCTAAGTGATCAAGTATGAACATTTATTTATCTGCTATATAAATGATATGTATAATTATGTAATATCGGATCATATATCTCACACTTGCCAATAACTAACATATATGAGCCGCGTCACGACAAAACCAACATAATGGGTTTGCGACCTATGTTGGTTTTGTCGTGACGCGGCTCATATAATTCTTTAGTATGTCTGATACTAACTAAAATTAAACATAATTTTTTAATGTAAAACAGACATTTCATTATAGACAAGTTCATTTTAACATTGTACCAGTTTTGAAGTTTGGATTAAGGAAATGTAACAGAACATTATAACATGCACTTTGTTAATAACAAGACAAAAGGTCTAAAAAAAGATAAAAGATAAAATACCTAAAATTGCGGTCTCACTTACTCCCGGGAGAGCCCAGGACCATTCCGGTGAGTTACCGGGATTATCCGGGACGATCCGGGGTGAAATTATTGTTGCAGTCGCACTAACCCCGGCAGCACTACGGTAATTCTTAACTTACCACCCATTATGCGCTCCGGTCCATGCCGGTGCTTCCCCGGTCGTTCCCGGATGACGCCGGAAGAGCTCCGGTTGACCCGGGCAGAGCCCCGGTTGATCCAGGCAGAGCCCAGGACGATCCAGGCAGAGCCCCGGTGGATTGAAAACGCGCGGAAATGATTACATTGATACATAATTTTTATTTAATAAAATATCTATTGTTCCAGAATAGTAATTCATGATGATTTTCTGAAAAATCCTTATGCAAGACTGGATAGAAGGGAAATGGGAGGGGTTTTAATACAGACAAGTGCAATCATCGCAAATTGTCGTGATTCTTTTGAAATGAACCGGGCTTTGCCGGGGCTCTGCCGGGATCAACCATATCTCCATCGTCATCCTCCGGGGCTCTGCCGGCATCCTCCGGGGCACTGTCGGCATTCACCGGGGCTCTACCGTAGCTCTACCGGCTATATCATAACCCGGCTCATCCCCGGTTTGTGCCGGCAGAGCAACGGTGCTACCCCGGTGTAACCCTGGTCGTTCCCAGCAGAGCTAAGGATGAAGCCGGCAAAGCTATACTTCCCGGATCATCCCGGACCACCCTGATGATATCAAATATTTTATTCCATCCGGGGTCGAATGCCGGATCTTCCCGGATCATCCCGGACGTTGCCGGCAGAGTTACGGATGTACCCCGGTTGTTCCCGGTCGTATCCGGATCACCCCGGACGTCTACCGGGGCTCAAAATAACAATTTTAAGTGGACATATTCAGCGTTAATTGATTTCCTGTAACCAATTCGGATCTTGATATTAAGACTTGCTTTTCTATTAAAATGTATACTAGGGGAGCAATGGGGATGTGGTAAAATAGGAGTCTGTCTCGTTGGTTCGAGCCTTGCTAGGATCAATATCATGTTTCCTCATTAAACACAAGTACTTAGTTTAGTTTAAATTAATTTATTTCAATTTGTTGGTGTTGGAATCTATGAGCTTATTTAAACACTCTCAAATTCATTTCTGTAACCAACCAGTACTAAGCAATGAGTGTAAAGTTTCTTGTTCGTGGAAAGATCGGTTTCTCTATCGGAATTTGAACCCACGCGACTAGCAATTCCTAGTCGTAAACCACTCAGTCACATCGCCACTTTTACTTGTTAGTCGTAGACAGTGCACATATGCATGAGGGTGGTTCAGACAACAATATTTATAAGCTTTCCTTACCAACTTAGATATAAATATATACTTCTAATACTAAAATACATCCAATGTTAAATTAACTTTGATAATGTTTTATTTATTTTCAGTGAATCAAGTGGTGACTTCATAATAAAGATGGCGTTGATTGGGCTTGTCTTTCTTACAACAGTTCTTCAGTGCATTACAGCAACAGATATACCACTACCTATTCCACCACCTTTCAACCCAAGACGTATGGGCTTTCCGCGTGGACCTGTTGGTTTGATAAGACACGGTCCAACAAGGCATTTAGGCCCAATATTTCCACCGAGGCTGCATCATCCAATGAACAAGATTTGGCTAAAGAAATTTGATCCTCGTGTTGGTTCTTGGATTAAAGTTCAAAAAGAAAAACCCAATGTTATTAGACCACAACTACGTCGTCACTTTATGAGGAAGGCAAAGATAAATAAAATGATGCGGTTAGGAAAATTTGCTCGAATGAACATTGTGAGGGGCGGATTACTTGCTGGACATGGTCCAAGACGAGCATACCAAAACTATAACAGAAAACCTAAGAGAATGATTAAAATGCGTCCTGGAATGGGATCAACCGGTTTTCTAAGACAAGGAATTGTCGGACGATCGCATTCCCCAACAAACATTTTTAGTATCAGCAGACGGCCATTACTACAAAGGACAAAAATGTTTCAGGGGAGGTTTGAACATGATAATGACTTTATCGAGGATTTTAAATTTGATGACCATAAAGACACTATGGCAATCCAAAATTCTTTTGGAAGTCGGTTTAATGCGGGATTCAGAACTAACAATCAGCAAACAGACACTGATATAGGCGTAGCAGGTGTTGGTGCCGTGCGTCCACAATTTGGTGGAACTCAAAAAATAGTTGACCAGCCGAGCAATCCACCCATGAATGGAAATGTTGCTGGTTTTCAACAAAAGGGTTATTATCACGAGAAAAACAATGTTCCTAAATACGATATGGAAACAGTAGGGTTGTTAGGTCCACAACCAAGGGTATTAAATCCAGCTCATAAAATAAAAAGTAGTGTCAATAAAGCTATTCACGAATCATTTGACCGAAAAAGTCAAGGTCCTTTTGTAGGAATGACAGGAATGGGGGATGTTCATTTCGACAGGATGCAGCAAGACGTTAACTTACAATTCCCCACCATTAGCGGCACCATGAATACAGGTATATTAGGAGGCCAGCAAAATGGTTTCACTACACATTCTGGCGGTATAACACGTCCGATGCCCCAAGTAACAGGTTCGATGCCCCAAGGTATAGGTCCGATGCCCCAAGTCCCGTTACCTGCTGATAGGACACTAGACCCTCCTATTAACCCTAACGCAGTCGGTGACATTGGATTTCCAAGAACCGGAATCGCTACTTTTACAGTTGACAATAGAGTTCCAGATGGTCTATTGCATGATCATGACTTCCACGATGTAGAAAATCTAGATAGATTTGACGACAAAGATGACCATTCGACTAATGAGCTTGATGATCTTAATGAGAGATTGCATCATGAAAGGACATTCGATCTTGACGACCATAGAGATTTCGATGACCGGTTAGATGATCGGCTTAGTGTAGACGACAGACATCACAATTCATTTCCACAAATACCACAGGTTCAGAACGGAAGACACGATTTCTTAAACATGCCTCATATTGCCCAAGCTAATGACAGATTTGATGAACAAGATAAGGGATTCGAATTTGATAATGGGCACCATGGACACGATGATAGCCATCGTCATGGACATGATGACAGCCCTATTGATGGTTTAGAGCTTCTTGGGTCCAGTAGATGGAGTGATATCATTTCAGAATTAACAAACGCTGCCTCGCATAATCAAATATTTGATCAAGTTCCACGTGAAAGCATTCCCGTATTTCCAGTCAATCCACACTCGTCTGCAGGGCCAAGCGTTTCCGGTGAACGTGACATGTTTGGAGATGGGAAAGACGACATGGGACCTGGTACACTAGCACTACTCGGCATTGACCCCAGAAATGTTGCTACAGATGACATGCATCCACCGCCATTTACAATACCTCAAACATTTGAAACTGTGCATAAAAAGAATTCAGTAAATTCTATAACGACTGCGGAAACTGTAGTGGTTACCAAAAATGATGATTCCGTAACGACGGTTGTAACAAAGCAACCAGTGGAAATCAACAAAGGGACAGAATCAAAGCCAACCACTACCGGTTCACATGGACCAAGTCCAACGCTTGACATTTCGAACGCAGCCAAGCAGTTGGCAATGTTTGGTGCGTTGGACAATTTGGAATTTGGAAATGACAGTTTTGACGAAGACCTTAAACTTTAAATAGCTTTAAAGAAATGATATCATTTTAATGTGATACGACACAAAAGTACTCAAAATGTCTTTTTCTGTGATTTTTGTCTCTCAGTTGAGAGTGTGTTAAGAAAGACAATATTGGAAATATGACCGGCAAGAAAGACAATATTGGGAATATGACCGGCAATCCGACCTCAGTAGTGTTGGTTTGACCTACACTCAGAACAAAATATGATGAAGATTGTTTGTCCATGAGTAAAAAGGTCATATATTTTTCGTTGTGTTATTGTTTTTTAATTCTAAATTTTTTAACATGACATTTTCTTGTTAAGTTTATTAATGGTATTGTCTGCATTTACATAGTCATAATTTGTATAAAAAATGACATTACATATGTTAAATGATTTATCAAATTAAGAGGAAATGGCAGCAAAATACACAGCTGTTTCGTATTTTTATACCATATGAAATTGAAATTTAAACAGGAAACTAAAACATTTCCCCATTAGTTTATAATTATATAAAAAAAATCTCAATTATTTTAACACGTGTATAAATAGTTTTAAGTACTTGTTCAAGTGTGTATTATTGGTTGACGATATTGTGGCAATCTGTACAACAGTATATTGGTTCACGATATTTTGGCAATGTGTAATATTGGTAGACGATAATTTGGAAATGTGTAATATTGGTTGACGATATTGTGGCAATTGCTTGACGATATTGTGGCATTTTGAGTATATGGTTCACGATAGTGCGGCAATGTGTGCAGATGGTTCACGATATTGTGGTAATGTGTATAATTGTTTCACAATATTGTTGCAATGTGTATAACCGGATCTAGATATTTTGGCAATATGTATAATTGGTTCACGATAGTTTGGCAATGTGTACGATTTGTTAACGATATTGTGGCAATATGTATAATTTTATGATATTGCCAATGTATATTACTGTTTCACAATATTTTGGGGTGTATAATTGATGCATGATATCATCGCAAAGTGTATATTAATTGGTTCATGATATCATCGCAGAGCGTATAATTGATTCATGACATCATGGCATACTGTATAATTATTTCATGATATCACCGGATAGTGTATAAGTGTCATATATTATCGCAGACCGATTATAATTGTTTCATGATATCATGACATAGTGTATAATTGTTTCAAGATATCATGACATGGTGTATAATTGTTTTATGATATCATGACATGGTGTAAAATTGTTTTATGATATCATCGCAGAGTGTATTTTTGATTCATGTTACCATGTCATAGTGTATAAATGTTTCATGATATCATGTCATAGTGTATAATTAATTTCATGATATCATGACAATGCGTATAATGTATATATATTGTATTACAGATTACAGAGTATGCGATTGTTTCACATAATTGTGACAGTGCGATATGTGTAAATGTTTCAAGATATATTATGATAGAATGTACAATGCTTTTAAGATATCAATGTGTATTCTTAGTTAACGACATAACACCAGAGACTAGAATTGTTTCATGATATAAGCCGCGTCATGACAAAACCAACATAATGCGTTTACGACCAGCATGGATCCAGACCAGCCTGCGCATCCGCGCAGTCTGATCAGGATCCATGCTGTTCGCTTACAAACCCTATAGCAAGTAGAGAAACTGATAGCGAACAGCATGGATCCTGATCAAACTGCGCGAATGCGCAGGCTGGTCTGGATCCATGCTGGTCGCAAACACACTATGTTGGTTTTGTCGTGACATTATCCTAACAGAGTGTGTAATTGTTTCACAATTTTGTATACGTGTATAATTTGTTTAACGATATTTCATAACAGGTGTATATTGTGTTTTTGTGTATAACGAAGCAGTTTGGAAGAAAATATTTCAACATGGATAGTGATGTATCTAAGGAAAAAAAATTATTAACCTAAATTATGGGCTTTAATTGCATTAATTTGCTTCAGATCCTTTAAATAAAGTTTGTCCATACAGTGATGAATACACATAGAGTAAGAGAATAAGGTAAATATGAGTAAATAAATTTTTAAAAGTTAAACGTTCACATCTACTTGTAGAATAATTATGCTGGTAAATAGATATGCTTCCGAATTTATGAGCTACACGATTTTTTTTTCGAAATAACTTACTTTTTTATTTCATATAAAATGCACTTTATCAAGTAACATGTGAACGTGGTATTTTAATTCAATTTAATGCCAATTTATCTGAAAGTATATGTACATAACTCTTTCTTGTCTGTCATACTATCCGAATATACCTATAGTTATAATATTAAAAGAGTGATACGTATTGTTGTAATTTTGCATGTTCGTTTTACTCTCATGGTAGGACCTATGTCTCATTTTATTGTAAATATATAATATATAGAGGATATTTCATATTTTTTTATAATTACATGATTTATTTTCTCTATTTTGACATTACAATTTGAAAGACTTCCCCTTAATGTTTGTATATTGGTTGAATTTAGGAGAAAGTAGTCCGGCAAGACAATTGTGAAAATACGGAAAATTAGTTTCACTGCAGTCAAAAAATATAATTTTACAGTGAAAATACGGAAAATGATTAATTGTTTTGCAATGAATTGTATCTCACTGAAGTAAATTCCAATACGCCATCGTTATTTACAACAGGTTGTTGTCTTTATTCAGAGGCTACAGAAACGTTTATTTTAAATCTTTTTGTTTTGTTTACTTCCTTGTTATTTGATTATTTGTATATAAATTTAAATAAAATGCTATACTTAATTTCTTATTTCATAGTCCATCGATTTTCAAAATATCTGAATACACTTATCTCCGAAGAAGAAGACAAATTATAGTGACTTTGAATTTATTATAAGTCTTTCCACTCTAAATATCTTAAATGGACATGTCCGTTATGCAGTCTGGACAAAACCATTTATCATTTATGGGTAATATTTCCGAAAGAGTGCAGACCACGATGCGCGAGCCTATCTTGGTCTGCACTGGTCGGATAGGTAGAATATGTTGCCTCCTACAGGCTAAGGTTTCTTTGGTTAGATAAATGAATTTAATATTCACAATCACAATAACAGACCGACCTTACAAGAGTAAAAATGTCTATATCCCACGTACCCCAAACCAATACTTGCACACGTACGGATAAAAAGGACAACTTGAATCAGAAAAAAAAATCTTCAAATAATGAAACGCTCCAATCGCAAATTTTTGGCCCTTTCTGTCAGTCTTCGGATATAATGAATATTTGCAGAGGACGTTCCGAAAACGCTTAACATGAAAATGGCGAAAAAAATAATGTAAAACGGATTGTAAAATTGAGTTTAACCAATCGACAACTCAAAGCAACTTTCAGTATTGTAGCCCTACAACAGCTGTTGGAAATTTTGTTGGAATTTATAATACTCATACTTCAAACATCCACTTAGAAATGTATGTTTTATATTGAACAAGTCACTAAAAAGTCGGCTGCTTTGTTGTTTTCAATGTAATTCATTTGATTTTTTATTGATGTTATACATTCAATTTTATTCTCATCCAAACTCTCTTCATATTTTATGAGCTGATACACCTACAATTTGGAAGAATACAGTAAAAATGTTATTGTATAATACAGAGTTTGCATTTGTGTGCCTCGTGAGAACCTGGGCCTAGAAAAACAAAACTATGTATAATAAAAAATACAAATTACAGATTACAATTACCATATTTA